AAATTTCTATTTTTCTGCTATCAACTATTAATTAGTTTTCTTAAAGGTAAATAAATAAATCTCTATTTTTCTAGTCAGACACTATATGAGTGGAAGAATGAGTCATCTTAGCTAGCCTAAGGTGAGATAAGAATAACGTTTAACGTTTTTACAATAAGTAAAGGCCTCATGAAGCAGTTAATTTCATTAAGTCTTGGAAACCCAACTTTTCTTTGCCTACAATTTCCCTAAACCTCGCTCAACAAAAGGCTTTATCGATTAGACTGCTGTTTTGACTCGGCGCAAATCTCATCATCACCTCTAATGGGATTCAGAACGAGGACATGCGCAATGCATTCTGGATGAGAAAACCTCTCAAAGGCAAAGCTAAATTAAATTCAATCGCATCGCAAAGTCTCCTGCTAATTTCATTGAGAAATTCAATAGAGAATTATAAATCATCTTTAGCAACTTAAGGTGATTAACTAGTTCTTATTAGAGGTCTGCTAATAACTTCCAAACTCGAGAAGAATATTATATTCATGATCATTAAGCTAGCCAGCAATACATTTTATTAAGAAATTTGGTAATTTAATGTACTGCTTTGTGAGTGAAGAACACTAAATAATGAATCATGAGTTTCAAGAAGTATTTAGAGAGATAAATAAACATTTATGTATCCCAATCTTGATATTATCCCAAATCATGGCAACAGAGAAAGCAATGCATGTTCTGTCTAATAAATATTCGGTTATATATTTAGGGCAAATTAGCCACCAAAGAATCTGCTAATTTTTTGGTTCAATATGACAGCCACGAAGAGGTATAGGTCACAATAATATTCAACTCCGTGGTAATAGATCCACTATGAGAGACAAAATTTTAGCCAACCTTAAAAAAAATTCTATATTAATCCAGGGAATTTAGATTACGCTTATGTGAGTTTGAAACTGCAGCCTATCCTGGTCGACAGTAGCTTTTTGCTAGGACACATGGAGAAGTGGAACTCGAACCATGTATTTAATTCCGCTAGAGTATTCATCACTTGTATAAAACAAATACCAGAATAAACTAACGTGTTTCTAAAATGTTCGGGTTCCTGAAATATGCCAACCAAGGCCATAACATATACAATTAGCGCATAGGCCTAAACTTGCATCCAAAGTGACAGGATACGTTGATTTGTGAAAAAAGAACAGGATACCTTTGGTAATAAATAAAACTACAAAAGCATTGTCCTCAAACACAGAGCTCACAATGTTATTTAAATTAGTTTGAGTTGTTTAACCAATAATTGATGGGGAAAGAATATATATGCGCATAAGAATTAAGACTATATTCTAATTCATTAGCAAATAAATACAGATTGTGGTATAGACTTAAAAACAAGTTCCAAGTGCGGTCATTAATCAATGATTTTCGCATTGATAAGATTTGCCTATTGGCAATCGATAAACCAATGATAGCCAAACTGCTCGCCAGACTGTCGCAGTTGGCCACAGTATACTATAGGGATATGTCTGAGCGAGAGAGAATCCAAGAAGTGTGACAACTCAGAAGTTATCTATTTAAGAAGAAAAATTATCGATATTAGGACACCTCAATAAGACAAGGTTAGGAACACCCAAAACCAGATTTCCATAGATGTCTAATAAAACACCATATAATTGATAAGGATGAAGCAAGCACAAGTTTTTTAATAGCGTAACCAAAGTGAAATTTAAAATGAGAAATCTCGAAAATTAGATTAAAAATTACTTTTTATAGGCAAGTTACTAAAACATGCAAATTAATATAGTGCGAAATAACTCACTTCACCAAGAAACCAGCTAACGAGACCACCAAAAATCACAGCGTCGTTGCATTCACTATCGTGTACAGGAACTCCAATATTGCAAGAATCCCATAATTCTTTTTTCCATGAATCGATTCTCCAAGCCGAGGATCCTATATCAAAAAGTACTACGCTAGGATATCCTTCAATAAGCCATCGACCAAAAACAATCTATATACATGAAAAAAAGCGCAAAATTAGTTAGGTAAATCGAAAAAAAGAATACTTCTTTGCGAGTAAAGAAGTTGCGTAGTAAAATAGAAAACTTAAATTAATAAAAATAAGAGAAATTTAAATCCCCACAGATCCAATAATCCTTAAAAATGAGGAAATTAGAGTAAGCGAAAACTCGTGAAGCGATCATGCGAATGACACAAGCAAACATCGGTACTGCCTCGAGAATTAATTTCACTTAAATTATCTAAGGACTACGCATATGGATAATATAAAAATAAAAAATAGGACATGAAATATACACATCTCACAGGACTTACTTTGATATCGTGGTCTCTCATCTTAGCGATTGTTCGTTTAAGTTGTTCACTTGTGGGTTCTGTAATATCTACTTCTGTTCGCATGCACATTTCATTCAAGGGTCCAATGAGTACATAGCGATCTCCAAGTTCTTGGACATGAGAAGCGGCCTTCGTTCTTATTACAGTGTAGATTCCTCCAACTAATTAAAAAAGAAGTGACACAGGCTGCATATAAAGCTTGAATGTATAAATAATCACTTGTGAATAACTAGATGAATTGATGCGCTTATGGAATATAAACAAATTTATATAATTTCCGAAGAGACAGTTGTCACGTTCGCAATAAATACCTTTGTTAACGACCTCCCAAGCTACTTCAAACACATATCTTGCTTTAAAGGAATCAGGGGCTATAAGATTATATGAAGAAATCTCCTCAGACGGGGAGATTGGATCTTTGACGAATCGAGCAACACTATTACGCCTGGAGATCATGCTTGGGGTAGAAACGGAGGGAAGATTGGTCAAAAACCCCTTGTACATGTTAACGCTAGTTCGTGAATTAAACAAAGAACGTTCATTCTATGGGTTACTTATTCAAACCAACTACTTGCATAAAAATAATGCTTAAATATTGTTTATTTATATAATAATTATAGGAAACTATAAATAGACTAAAATTGTCGTTACATCTTGTATTCTGCGTTGAGCTCACTTGCACTTCGAGTTAAGTGAAGAATTAAGAGATTCAAAGGTCGATCCAACAGAACTTCAATTGCGGATTCCTCTTGCCAGCTGTTAATTTACCTTACTGAAAAATTCCCGTTGACACTTTTTTGGGGCAATCTACTTTGTTTCAGATGAAAACTTGTTTGGCTTTCACTTGTCGTAGGAAGAACAACATTAGGGCAGGGTATTATTCTTACAACCACATTTGGGCTAGTGAGCCAAGAAAACTTCACATTAAATGATTAGCATGTTTTAATTGGAGTCAAGGAAAATGCCCTGGGGGCGGTGTCAACTGAAAAGTTGAGATAGATTTAACCAACAGCTAGCCAAGAGGAATATGGCGTCATATCCTCTTTGGAAAGACTTTTGAAAATCGTAATAATACGCTTGCACTTTAAATGTAAGCAGGCACAACAATTTAATACCAAAATAGTCCTCAAAGCCCAACTTTTATTAGTACCATATGCACATACTTCTAAGTCAATGATTATCGAAAATATAGATAACTGTGAATAACGAAGGCGACAAAATGACCCTCGGCTACGGATAAGGTGCAGATGGGAAAAAGTATACGGAATAATTTTAAGCTGCAGAAAAGGCAAAAAATAAAAATGTACACATTCTAACTTTAAAACTTTATAGAATACATTTTTCTCACCTAAGTGAGCCCCGAATTATCAGAAGTCAGAATAAATTGATGTGGTAAAATTATCAAAATATAATGCAATTCTATATTTTACGCAAGGATGCTTATATATACGAAAGAGCAATGCGGAGACACTCATAAGGCAGATTGAATTAAATTTTATAGGTTAAGGATTTTAAATATTAAATATATCTAACTATATCCAATTTTTGACGTGAAATGCTTCATCTTAAGGATAGAGAAACATGAGCAAGTAAGATAAGGAGATTCATAAAAAA